AATCACTGCGAAATTCCTGTGCATACTTACAGGAGAAATTTTTTCTTCTGTTAATCTATCACATTTGTTCTTATTTTTTCCTTGTTTGCTTGTTTATTTCGCCCAGGGCCTGTTAAGCCTGTACTCTAACACTGAGCTACACTGCATGCAGCCTACACTCAGTTTAATTTCCAGGACTTCAGATGGAGAATTTAAAGGGGAGAGAGAAAAAGAGTTTTCCTATCCTAAAAGAGAATTTAAGGGAACCTAAGGGCAACATACTATTTCATAACAAAAATCAAAAGTAGACGGGGAGGATTGCCATCCAGGAGAATCTTGTTCATTCTTGTCTGTTTTCAGTGAAAGTTCATCCCTCTGAGCCCTTGTACTTGACATCCTTTTTACCACTACCAAGGGCCACCCCTCTAATCCTAGCATTTCTGCCCTGTTTTCCAGTAGTCTGCTAATGAGCCCATATCTCCAGACTTGCTCCCCCTTTCTCCAGTATCCTCCACACAGCAACTAGTATGTTCTTTTGAACCTTTCCTGATTAAAAGATGTCAATCTTCTCATTGAACATGCAGAGCTTTCATGATAGAGTCCCTTCCTTTCTATCCAAAATCTTGTCATTTTCCCCATGTTTCAGCAGAGACCCACTCACAAAGTAAAGTGACCTCAGGGGTCTTCAACCACCATATCTTGTGATTCCACAAGAAAGATTTCAAATGAATTACACAGGGTAACAAGAATTTATCAGAAAAAGTGACAATACAGACATTGAGGATAAGCACTGAAGAAACCTTCTCTGAGGGAGGATGATGTAGTCTTTATAGAGTAAGAATTTTCAGTGATTTTGGATCCCTTTGTTCTTGTTCTGTTCTCTCATACCCCCTTAAATTATTTCCCCTTTGTGTAGCCCTCAGTGAATTCTCTATGTGAGGGTCATGATGACCTAGTCAAAAGGGGTGGCTGCAAAATGGTTTTGGTGCTGACCTGGTGATAAGAGGTAGCTGTGACATGGCCTTGAAGGGATAGTTCCCTTCAGGCTTATAATTATCTATAGTTTGGGAACAGAGGACCTTCTGGTTTCTATTTTCCAGTCTTTTCTACTTTGATAAAGTTGCCTGTGTTTTTAGTCCTATGACTCCTGGATTTTTTCTAGTGCATATGTCTAATATTCTTCCGGTTTGTTGGTGCTCTTCATTGCCCTTCACCTGCCCACCTGCTTATGACTGTCTAGCCTACCTCACATTCCAGAGCCCTTCTAAAATGATGTGGGAGCCTACAGCACCTCAGTGAATGCACTTATTTTCATAATTTAAAATCCAAGTTTTACAGTCTTTTTCCTGTTTATTTATACGAAGCAATCATCTAATAGTAACTTGAGGCCTCTAATTCCTTGTGAGAATTGTAATGACTTGGCATTAACATCAATAGATACTTTAAACCATTTTATCCCATCATCCCAGATGTATAACATCTATAAAAACTTAAGTAAGCATATAACATATAATTATATAATTCAGCCAAACAATGATAGTAAGGATATAATCATAATATTTATTAATTTTAGTTACCATAATAATATATATAAGATATAGATTATGATTTCCAACCCATTTTAGTGTACCTATGTTTCAATTTTCAATAAAGTTAAAGTGTGGTTTCATTTGTTAGAATACAACAAGAGCAGAGGAGAGGATAATGTACACATACCCTCTCCCCAAAAAAGATGTGACAGGGCCCATAAGATTAGAAATTTTTAAAGAGGCCCTATTTTTTCCCCCTCAGTCCCTAGGCATTTCCTGGTAACCTGTTTTTGTTTTATTTTGGGTTTTTAGTTATTTTCTCTATCCCAATATCCTACAGTTAATCATCTCATGCTGAAAACAAAGCGAAAGTATCTTTGAAGGCCTGACCTGGAGCCAGTGTTACAAGAGTCCTAGGACACAGGGTCCGGCTCCAGAGGTCTAGACAGACCAATGTGGGTCACCCTTTGTAATATGTGAAAAAGCAGAGTAGTTTGAAGGGTAGGAAAGGTATTTTAATCAGTGTGGCCATGCTAGGACAAACACATATAGTGGTATAGTAACCAAAGCTCTGTCTTAAAGAGATTGCCAGCAACTTGAAGATTTTATATAAAAGAGGACCAAAGGCTATGTCTTGGTGGATTTGTATGACTGGGAAAGGGGGTTGCACAGAGTAAAATCATCCTGATCAGGCCATGATGCAGTTGGCCATGATCTCAGACTCATTCTGTGAAGCTCTGAGAAGGCCTGTCATTGATTGTAGGGGGTGATTTAGCATCTATCATGAGATGACTTTTCCTCTTGTGGGGCAGACTTGGTTTTGTTGCAAAACAACTGTTCCCATGTAGTGGGCAGCATCTACATGGGCTGATATGCTCTGTGAATCTCATAACATGGTCCATAAAATTAGAAATTTTTAAAGAGGTCCTTAATATTTTTAGGTGGGCTTTCAGGGGAGCTATTTTGGTCCTTTGTGATAAAGATACTTATCAATCAGGCTTTTTGTTCCTGGAATCCAAGGTATCTAGTTGAAAAAAAAAAAGTGGCTCAGAGAAAAACAGCTAAGGAGGAAGTAGAGTCAAAGAGACACAAAATGGAGTTAGGTAAACTCAGGGTGAATAAACCTATGGCTTTGAGCATATGTTTTAACTACAGAGTTACACCCCCAGTCTCCTTATTTGTCTTATAAGAAATTGGTCTTGCTATTTTTTCCAAGCTGGCCTCAAACTCATTACCAATGTGCTTTGGCCTTTTGTGTAGCTGGAACTACAGGTGTGCATCACTATATTGTGTATCACCTTTAATTCTTAAATTTTATTTTTAAAGATTATTATTATTTAGTGATTATCTACTTTTAAGTTTATTTAATTAAATATATTCATCGGGTGTTTCAATGTCAATGTTTGATAACTCCAGTCTGGATTACCTATGAGTCTACTTCCATGCTCTCACTTTTGGAATTTTAGGTTTTGTTTTCTGGCATGCCTGGTAATTTTTTATTGATAATTTAAGTTGATGATATCACCTTTGAGAGTATATTTAACATTCTTTTTGTAAATTCTGAGCAGATCACTTTCTTAGAGCAGAGGCTGGTCTATTTTGGTTTGCCTATATTCCCAGGACATCTGGGATCTCAAAACCTAGGAATTTCAGGGATCCTTATCTTTGCTGGCTCACAACTTCTAATTTTGTCTTCCTGGCTGATAGTCTGCTAAAATGCTTGAAATAACAGTGGTTTCAGGAAGACCTCTCTAAAAGTTTCCTTCTACCTGATGGTCCTATATTGCCTTACACATGCATAGTTTATGTGTTCAAATGCCTGGTGAAGAAAGAGTGGGTGCTGTGTTTGCTCCAGTGCTTTTTCCTCATTTCCAGGATTTTGGTTCCTCAAGCTCTGGCTGCTTTGACTGCTCCCCCCCCCCCGTTGTTTGGTCTACTTTTCTAATGTTCTCAGGAGAATGATTAGTTTGGAGCAGCTAGTCCACCATAAGCTGAGAGAAAGAAGAACTTTCTCTTCATGGATGACTTTGGTTTTTAAAAATGAAAACTAGGTTTATTGCAGTTAACATTTCAATACTCTTTTACAAGCTCAGCTCACCTTAAGTTCTTACTCTAATTAAAACTGTTTCAGGGTTGTTTCATAAACTGTTTAGTGAAACATTTAAAACATTTATAAACTTAATGTGCAGTATCTGCCTTAAAGCCTTGAGCTGTTTCACTATTGGTTTGATTTACTTAATCATTTTAATACTTAATTTTAAATCTTCTTAAACTTTAATATTCTTGTCCACTAGGAAATTATTAATTTTTTTGTAAACAATTTGGAATTTTTTTGTTTTAATCAACTTTCCATCACTGTTACAAAATAATTGAGAAAACAAACTTAAAGGAGGAAAAGTTTATTATGGCTCATGGTTTCAGAGATTTCATTCTATGGTTGGCTCACTCCGTTGCTTCCAGGGATATTAAAAGGCATAAAAATCACAATGAAAGGGCATGGAGGATGAAAAGTTTTTAGTTCATGGAATCCAGGAAAGAATAGAGAAGGAACTAGGGGCAAGTTGTATTTATCTAGAATTTATCCCTATTAATCCTCCTTCTCCAATCAGGTCCAGTCTCCAAAAGTTTTTACCTCCAGTGGTACCATAGACTGATGATTAAGCCTTTAGCACATGGTCTGTATGGGACATATTCTATCCAAACTGTAATACCTTCTTAGCTGATTAAATGTAATAGCAATTAGAGATATGAAGTCTAGAACTATAAATTCAGAGAAGTTTCTCCTGTCCCTGACTGTTTAGTAAACCCCTTTGGTAATAATAATATTATAAACTATAAAATGTAATAAACAGGTAAATAAACAAATAATGTTATAAACTCTGAAATATGATCAATCAATTAAAAAAGGAGATATAAGTATGATCATGTGGGATGTTCCAGAACTTAGGTTGTATTGTTATATGGTTTTTCAAGCCAAACAAGACTCTTATCTTTTTCATGTTTCATGAGTTTTGAGTAATTTTCATGTTTTCACTATTAACTTATTAGAAATTCATTTCACATCTAGTTGGAGGGCAAGCATTCAAAGTTGTCTTTCTCCCATTATAGATTCTATGGTTGTTCTTATCGTGGTAATGTGGCTATTCATTGGAAAGTAATCTACTCACTGCAGTGCAGTTGAAAATGAACTTCTGTTATCTAACTGAGGTCAGTGATACATGCCTGTAAATGCAAATCCTGGTAGTGAGGTGGGGGGGGGACTTTACAAGTTTAAGTTTAGCCTCAAAAACTTAGCAAGATCTGCCTGAAATTTTTTAAAAAGAAATTTTAAAGTGCTGGGCATGTAGTTAAGTGGTAAAGCAACTCTGGGTTCAATCCCCAGTAACAAAAACAAAAGAAACATACAAGTAGTAGTATGTAGTTTTTTTGTAGTGCTTATAAACTCATTTATCTAGACTATCAACTTACTATTACTTTTCCCTCTACAAAAAGGCAGAAACTCCAAAGGTCTTTCAGCCATTACCAGATTTTTATCCCAGAGTCACAAAGAAATACCAGTGGCGTCCCTAAGATGGTATCCGTTGACCCAAATTTATTCACCCAAGGGACCGTGTTAAGTATTCATAACATCTGCTATCATCAAGAAGAAGTGAAGAGCAACTTTCTACTTTGCCGCCGAGAAACGTTTCAGAGAGGAATACTAACAAATATCAAGTAGGTGCATTAACTTTTCAAAATACTACTTTATTAAATGAATTTCATAGGTTTTACCTATCACCAATAAGCTGCCACAGACATTTATGTTCAAGTCTTTGAAAAGATGTATTAATTCATTCTTTCATTTCCTTTGGCTAAACTTGGACTGAAATGATTTGATAATTCAAGTATAAGTTTAACTTCGAAAGTAACTGGCAAATTGTAAAAATGGTTGTACTATATGTTTAAGCAATTGTTGTGTCAATTAGTTTTTGAAGTAGAAAATAAATGAGAAAGGAGAATTTCTATAGAAGCTACTCACTACCATTACTACTTAAAGAACTTTGCAACATAGCAAAACAACTTAGTTACCTCCAGAATATAAGACAACTATCATAATTAACAGGATTATACTCAAAATGTCAGATTTTTAAAATTTTAGAGCATTTGTATCAGTAAAACATATTTAACTAGTGTTACAAACCAAAAAAAAAAAGAGAGAGGAGTCTTTAGATTAGAACAAATGAAGATTTGAATAAATCCTAACTTCTTGTAGTACCTAATTTTCTTCTAAGCAATTAAAAATATAATAAAATCTGCAGAAAATATAAGATATTGTTTGATAAAATATACAATCTTTGTTATTTAAATCAGTTCTTTTGTAAACTTTGTTAAGAGCAGTTGGATTCCAAGCGTAAATGCCTTTTTAAAGTTGCTTTAAATTCCTCTAGAACTTAAGTTTATTAGATTCGATATCAACATAGCACAAAATCCATTTAACCTTTTAAAAAGAAGGTGAAGTTCCTTGTGATAAGAAAAATACTATGTGGGTTGTTTGTTCAGAAAATTTAATTTTTGAAAGTACAGTTAGTATTTATGATAAAAATGTAGAAATTCTTATATAGCATTTAGGTTACTGAATGAAGGTATAGACAGACCAATATTTAATTTTTTGAAAATAGTACTAGGATTTGTGTTTAATGAACCACCACAACAAAAACTGTAATTTTTAGCTTATAATATCTTATTATGTCATTCCAGAAACCAGAAGTAGAAAATATGAACAGGTTAACAGACTTTTACACCATTAGTTATTTCCTTGACATAACTTAGGCCTTGAACAAGCAAAAGTATAGGCTCACTCATGAATTTTCAGATCTATTAAACAATTAATATTTTAGACAAACCATGAATGTCATCTATACATGTAAGCATTACATAATTTTGAAAGAAAGTAGAACATTTCTGAGATGTGGAAAGCTTAAGATTTTAGTTCTGGATTTATGTTCCCTTATAAAAATAAAATTATTTTAAAAGATACAGTTTTAAGAATTCAAAACACCTCTCATTTAATATACTCATTTTAACAACTATATTTAGATTACTCATGGATTGCAAGCATAGTTAATATTTTTGAGTTATTTCTGCACCAAAGAGTTCCTAAGAGGTTGTTGTATAGAAAACAATGAACAATATTCCTCAAATATGTAGACATACATTCTAATTGGTTAGCAAGCCATAAACACAAGTTACTAGATTTTAAAGGCATTCTTATAAACAAGTTTAATTTACTTATCACAGATTTACTAAATTCATGTGAAAGGCATTTCTCAATATAAATCAATTTAGTATCTTGCAAACTGACTATGTATAAGCATATAAACATATAGACTTAAATTTAGAATAGTTTTAAAAGCTATATTTTTTACCTGATATTGAAATAAGTCTGTTAGGTCTTAAAATTGCATTTCTAAACTGAGGCCAGGTAGAAAATTTACATCTTAAAAGACTTAGACTAGCAAACTTGAATTGTGAATTTCCTTTTAAGACACAGGCAGGAAACATTTACAAACCCTTCTTCCTTTAGTCCATTTTGAGAACTAGAAGAACTGAAGGGTGAAGATGAGTCCTCCTCTACCCTGGACTAGGAAGAAACAGTATCTATCAGTTATGGCACAACTGAAGATGAATATCAAGGTTGTAAGTGGTCTGTACTACCTGGGGTAGTATTTGCCTTGGCTGTGGCTGTTACACATTTCTCTGAAGAAAACAAGAAGATGCAAAATTGGTGTGGACAAATTCAGAATTCCTGTTTTCTCAAGGATCTGCTTTGCTGTTTTTTTGTTTTGTTTTGTTTAATCTTGCCTGTGACAATCTGTCTGGTGATTGCTATTATCAGCAGTTCATTACTAGTACAAACAAGAATACAACAAATACATTTTGTTGTTCATTTTTTTATGTTCATCAACAACATCAAAATGTCCTGTGGTATCACTGACTTCATTCAATACTTGACCACCATCAGAATCATATCAAGATCAGTCATATCAACATCCTCATTTCTCCTTTAAACTAATGAAAGAACTATTGCTAGCCCCACAGGATCCATTGTCATTAAGAATCCATTTGCTACAGTTTTTAGTAACATTTTATCTGTTAAGAAGAGAATGGAGTCTGGGACAATTCCTATACTATATAGCTGGTGGACTTGTTGACTGTGTAGCCCAGTTAATAAGAATAGCTGAAGAGCTCTTACAATCTATTTCACAAGAACAACAATTATTTCCTTGTGAAAAATGAAATGATAGAACAGAGCAGATTGGAGCAGATGCATCTCCTTCCAAAGAACCTTCAATACCAGATCTTGCTGTCTCTTTGAATTGGAATCAATACTTTCACTACAAGAAGATAAAGACTTAAGGGCTGGTGTTGTGGCTCAGTGTTAGAGTGCTCGCCTAGCATGCACCAGGCACTGGGTTTGATCCTCAGCACCACATAAATTGAAAATGAAAATATTGTGTCTACCTAAAACTTAGAATAAATATTTTTAAAAAAGAAGATAAGACCTAATCCTTGATATAGAGCAAGCCATGTTAGACATAGATGGGCTATATGAAGGTGTACTCTCTGATATAAACAATGATTTAAGAAGTAAATAAGACCCAGTTTGCCCTCACCAACATGTGAGAACTGATCACTGATTTTTTTTCAAATATATCCTGACATATTTGGACATTAGCAATATTTTTCTCCTAGTTCTGCATATTTTTATTATTAAGAACTTATAGAATAAGTTTTGGTTTCCTTCCAGAAAAGACTGATCTCATCTTTGTTTTTATTAAAAAAATCTCTGACTTTAGCAGTGTCATTCCTTTACTTGTATTTGTTTTGTTAGGTTTCTTGAGGATAAGAGCAAATAATAACAAAGAAGAGAATCTCCTCAACTAACAATGGACTGAAGCACATATCAATTATCTCACATCTTTGGACCCAATTTTATTGTTCTATCATTAATGGAAATTAAAAGGGGAACATTCCCTAGGATGGTATTTCAGTGCATTAACTGGACAATAGTAAGACATTTGTACTTGATAAGACTCCTTACTGGATTTCTAAGAATGTGTCAAACAAATGATGCCCTATCAGACTACTGGAGATAAATCTGAAAGAGAAGCATCTATCAAAAAGCAATACTACAGAAACGTTTTCAGATGAGTTTTATGAGGAAAAAAATCATTGAAAAAGCTGGAGCCAAGAGGTTCCAATGTAGAATTGATTCCCACAAATGCTGATCTATATTGCAGTTACTTTAAATATCATTCCTAAAATGGAAGTTGCACAATCTACTCATTAACAGACATATATGGAATATTCCATCCATCAATGAGCAAATACATTTTCTTCTCAGCAGCACATGGATCATTCTCCAAAATAGACCACATGTTATGTCACAAAGCAAGTCTTAGCAAATACAGAAAAAATAGAGGGCTGGGGTTGTGGCTCAGCAGTAGTGCACTTGCCTAGCACATGCAAAACCACTCTCAGCACCACATAAAAATAAGTAAACAAAATAAAGGTATTATGTCCAATTACAACTAAAAAATAAATATAAAAAATAGAGATACTACCCTGCATTCTATCTGAACATAATGGAATGAAATTAGAAATCAATGATAAAATTAAAAAGAGAAGCTACTCCAAAACCTAGAGAGGTAAACAATATGCTATTGAATGATGCATGGATAACAGGAGACATTAGGGAGGAGATAAAAAAACTTAGAGGTAAATGAGAAGTCCAACACAACTTATCAAAATATCTGGGACACAATGAAGGCTGTTCTAAGAGTAAAGTTAATTGCATGGAGTTCATTCATTAAAAGAAGAAAATGTCAAAAAATAAATGACCTGACATTACATCCCAAAGCCCTAGAAAAGGAAGAACAAACTAACACCCAAAGTAGTAGAAGACAGGAAATAATTAAAATCAGAGCAGAAATCAATGAAATTGAAACTAAAGAAGCAATTCAAAAAATTGACAAAACAAAAAGCTTGTTCTTCAAAAACATAAATAAAATTGACAAACTCTTAGCCACTCTAACAAAAAGAAGGATGGAGAAAACTCAAATTACAAAAATTTTGCAATGAAAAAGGAAATATCATGACAGACATTATTGAAATATAGAAGACAATTAGAAACTATTTTGAAAATTTATATTCCAATAAAATAGGAGAACTTAAAGATTCCCAACAAATTTCTAGAGGCATATGATCAACCCAAGCTGAGTAAAGAAGACATACGCAATTTAAACAGATCAATTTTAAGCAAGGAAATAAAAGATGCCATTTACAAATGTTGTACCAACCAAGAAAAACCCAGGACCAGATGGATTCACAGCTAAGTTCTACAAGACCTACAAGGAAGAAGTAATGCCAATACTCCTCATATTATTCATTGAAATAGAAAAGGAGTGAACCCTTCCAAACTCATTCTATGTAGCTAGTATCATCCTTATGCCAAAACCAGGGAGAAACAAATCAAGGAAAGAAAATTTCAGACCAAAATTCCTGATGAACATTGATGCAAAAATTCTCAATAAAATTTTGGCAAATTACATACAAAAATATATTAATAAAATAGTGCACCATGATCAAGTGGTATTCATTCCAGGGATGCAAGGTTGGTACAACATGCAGAAATCAATAAATATAATTCATCACATCAATAGACTTAAAGATAA